TAGGAATTTATAGTGAATTTACCTCGGAAGTCATAGTAAATTTTCCTCAAAATTCGGAATGAATTCCTCTTGGAATTCGGAATAAATCCCTCTAGAAATTTGGAATTAATTCTCGCAATCCAGAATGAGTGAATTTGTCTCGGAATTCATAGTAAATTCTTCTCGGAATTCAGAATGCATTCCTCTTGGAATCCATAATGAATTTGTATCGGAATTCATAGTGAATTTATCTCGGAATTCATAGAGAAGTTCGCTGGAAATGAATGAATTTATTTTTCCCGGAATACATAGTGAATTTATCTCAAAATTCAAAGTGATTTTCTTTCAGAATTCATAGTAAAATCCTCTTGGAATTCGGAACGAATTCTTCTTGGATTTCGGAATGGTATTCTCTCGGAATTCATAGTGCATTTCTCTCGGAATTCATAGTGAATTTTTTTCGGAATTCATAGTGAATTTCTCTCGGAATTCATAGTAAATTCTTCTCGGAATTCGGAATGAATTCCTCTTGGAATTCGAAATGAATTCCTCTCGTAATTCGGATTGAATTCCTATCGGAATTCGTAAAGAATTCCTATCGGTATTCGTAATGAATTCTTCTCGCAATTCGCAATGAATTACTCTCGGAAATCGGAATGAATTTCTTTCGGAATCCGGAATGAATTCCTCCCAAAATTCAGAATGAATTTATTTAATCATCCGGAATAAATTCCTTTCGGAATTCGCAATACATTCCTCTCGTAATAAATTCCTCTCGTAATAAATTCCTCTCGTAATAAATTCCTCTCGTAATAAATTCCTCTCGTAATAAATTCCTCTCGTAATAAATTCCTCTAGTAATAAATTCCTCTCGGAATAAATTCCTCTCGGAATAAATTCCTCTCGTAATAAATTCCTCCAGAACAAATTCCTCTCGGAATAAATTCTTCTCGGAATTCGGAATGAATTCTTCACGGAATTTGAGAATGAATTGCTCTTGGAATTCGAAATGACTTCTTCTCGGAATTCAGAATGAATTCCTCACGGAAATCGGAATGAATTCCACTGGGAATGCATAGTGATTTTTTCTAGAAATTCTTAGAAAAATTCCTCTTGGAATGTGGAATCAATTCCTCTAGGAATTAAGAAAAAAATGCCTTTTGGAATGCGGAATGAATTCCTCTAAGAATTTGAAATGATTTCCTCTTGGAATTAAGAATGATTTTCTCTGGGAAATCAGAATGAATTCCACTGGGAATGCATAGTGAATTTTTCTAGAAATTCTTATACAAATTCCTCTTGGAATTTGGAATCCATTCCTCTAGGAATTAGGGAAAAATGCCTTTCGGAATTCGGAATGAATTCCTCTTGGAATTCGGAATAAATTCTCCTCGGAATTCGGAATAAATTCCTCTCAAAATTCGGAAAAAGTTCCTTCCGGAATTCGGAATGAATTCCTCCCGGAATGAATTCATCATGAAATGAATTCCTCTAGGAATGAATTATTCTCGGAATGAATTTCTCTCGGAATGAATTCCTCTCGGAATGAATTCCTCTCGGATTGAATACCTCCAGGAATGAATTCCTCTCGGAATGAATTCCTTTTGGAATCCGGAATTAATTCCCCAGATCAATTAACAATTCAAGAGCCACATGAGAAAAGGGCATACAAGCTTTTTGTAAACAAACCTTTGTAGGCCCTTTTCTCACCAACCGAGGGTCGCTTATGCTAACCAACAACATCATCGGGAAGGGGCAAGTTTCCCCTACCCGGTGATGTTGATGGTTTGCGTTGGTGTCATATGGGTGGCGAGAAAAGGGCATAAGAAGATTTGTTTACAAAAAGCTTGTATGCCCTTTTCACATGTTGTTCTTGAATGTCAAAACATGAAGTTTACAGTTGTCTTTTTTTAAAAGGTCTACAGTAGTCCAATTTACCATAGTCCAATTTTCAATTGTCCAATTAACAATAGTAAAAATTACAATTGTCCAAATTTCAATAGTCTAATTTACAATAGTCCAATGTTTAATTTTACAATTAACAATGGTCCAATTTCCACTTGTCCAATTAACAATTGTCCAATTTACAACTGTCCAATGTCTATTTTTTTCAATTTACAGTTGTCTAATTTACAATTGTACAATGTCAAAATTCTCGATGAATTGTGTTTGAAATTCTTACTGATCTGATTTGAGTTTCTTTTGATGGTTCATTCAGGATGAAATCCTCATGGTGTTCAAGATAAATTGCTTTTGGGTTAAGCAGTACATTCCTTTTAAAATTTTGATTTAATTTATCCAGAGCTAAGATATAAAGTTCTCCCGGAATATAGAGTGGACTCCTACTGAAATTCAATTTACAATTGTCCAATTAACAATTGTTCAATTTACAGTTGTCCAATTTACAATTGTCCAATTAACAATTGACCAATTAACAATTGTCCAATTAACAATTGTCCAATTAACAATTGTCCAATTAACAATTGTCCAATTAACAATTGTCCAATTAACAATTGTCCAATTAACAATTGTCCAATTAACAATTGTCCAATTAACAATTGTCCAATTAACAATTGTCCAATTAAAAATTGTCCAATTAACAATTGTCCAATTAACAATTGTCCAATTAACAATTGTCCAATTAACAATTGTCCAATTAACAATTGTTCAATTTACAGGTGTCCAATTTACAATTGTCCAATTTACAATTTTCCAAATTAACAATTGTCCAATTAACAATTGTCCAATTAACATTTGTCCAATTAACATTTGTCCAATTAACAATTGTCCAATTAACAATTGTCCAATTAACAATTGTCCAATTAACAATTGTCCAATTAACAATTGTCCAATTAACAATTGTCCAATTAACAATTGTCCAATTAACAATTGTCCAATTAACAATTGTCCAATTAACAATTGTCCAATTAACAATTGTCCAATTAACAATTGTCCAATTAACAATTGTCCAATTAACAATTGTCCAATTAACAATTGTCCAATTAACAATTGTCCAATTAACAATTGTCCAATTAACAATTGTCCAATTAACAATTGTCCAATTAACAATTGTCCAATTAACAATTATCCAATTAACAATTGTCCAATTAACAATTGTCCAATTAACAATTGTCCAATTAACAATTGTCCAATTAACAATTGTCCAATTAACAATTGTCCAATTAACAATTGTCCAATTAACAATTGTCCAATTAACAATTGTCCAATTAACAATTGTCCAATTAACAATTGTCCAATTAACAATTGTCCAATTAACAATTGTCCAATTAACAATTGTCCAATTAACAATTGTCCAATTAACAATTGTCCAATTAACAATTGTCCAATTAACAATTGTCCAATTAACAATTGTCCAATTAACAATTGTCTAATTAACAATTGTCTAATTAACAATTGTTCAATTAACAATTCTCCTATTAACAATTCTCCTATTAACAATTGTCCAATTAACAATTGTCCAATTAACAATTGTCCAATTAACAATTGTCCAATTAACAATTGTCCAATTAACAATTGTCCAATTAACAATTGTCCAATTAACAATTGTCCAATTAACAATTGTCCAATTAACAATTGTCCAATTAACAATTGTCCAATTAACAATTGTCCAATTAACAATTGTCCAATTAACAATTGTCCAATTAACAATTGTCCAATTAACAATTGTCCAATTTCCAATTTCCAATTAACAATTGTCCAATTTACAACTGTCCAATTTACAACTGTCCAATTTACAATTGTCCAATTTACAATTGTCCAATTTACAATTGTCCAATTTACAATTGTCCAATTTACAATTGTCCAATTTACAATTGTCCAATTTACAATTGTCCAATTTACAATTGTCCAATTTACAATTGTCCAATTTACAATTGTCCAATTTACAATTGTCCAATTTACAATTTTCCAATTAATTGTCCACATTACAATTGTCCAATTTACAATTGTCCACATTACAATTGTCCAATTAACAATTGTTCAATTTACTACTGTCCAATTTACAATTGTCCAATATACAATTGTCCAATTTACAATTGTCAAATGTCTATTTTTTCAATTTACAGTTGTCTTATTTACAATCGTCCAATGTCTAATTTTCTAATTTACAAGTGACCAATTAACAATTGTCCAATTCACAGTTGTCCAATTAACATTTATCCAATTTACAATTGTTCAATTTACAATTGTCCAATATACAATTGTCCAATTAACAATTGTCCAATTTACAATTGTCCAATTAACAATTGTCCAATTACTAAGTGTCCAATTTACAATTGTCCAATTTACAATTGTCCAATTTACAACTGTCCAATTTACAATTGTCCAATTTACAATTGTCCAATTTCCAATTTTCCAATTTACAATTGTCCAACTAACAATTGTCCAATTTACAATTGTTAAACTTACAATTGTCCAATTTACAATTGTCCAATTTACAATAGTCCAATGTCTATTTTTTCAATTTACAGTTGTCTAATTTACAATTGGGTTCTTTAAGGGTATTGCGGGAAATGCACATTCATAATCTGCATTAAAAATGGAACCCAAACCCAAAATTTCATCAATTTTGGTACACTGGGACTATTTTAAATAAGAACGATTACATTTGTAAAAACCACCTTATTAGCGCTCCCCGTTGTCACTTTGTATAGGAGCGAGCTGTCAATTTGTCAGTTTAGTGTCAAACAGTGTAGTTATTATTTTGCCAATCTTCATAAGAATTGTTCAACAGTTCGATTTCGATGTTCAAATTCGCTTGCATTCAACCTTTTCCCAGCAGTCCCACCATAATAACCATAACTTCAGACCAGCAAGTAGGCTGTCAATATGCCCAGATTATATCGATACGAACGAAAGTTCAAGATCACTCCCATTATAATGGAAACCGAGTGATGCATCAGGAGTGGGGAAGGATTACTGACCCGGTTGTAATGCTTCCGGGCATCCAAGCTGCCGAGAGGCTAAGTGCTAGTCGTGGAAAAGGAGACTATAGTACTTACTGCAATGTATTGCCAGCCTTTGTTCACCCGCACCAGCAGTGCTTCCTCGTCAATTATGTAGGCGAGCGTTCCGACGGGGCTCGTAGAAGACATCTGTGGATATAAATTAGAGGAAATAAAAGAAGCATGAGAATTGGTTCGGAAGGGTGTGTGTGTGTGTGTGTGTGTGTTGGTTGAAGGAAAGGGGTTCATTTTGGACGACGACAACGGTGGACCTCTGAGGGTAAGCTCTGGATTTTGCGGATAAGGCTTGACACTGTCCAGCAGCAGCAGTCGTTGGTCTTGGTTGGATGATGGCGTGGATGCGGAAAAAGAGTGCATTTATTATTCATGATAAGGTCTTATTTATGTTTGCGTTGCGCCTGCATGGTATGCACAAACACACGTCACATGGCTGATGAGACCAGGGTGTAGAAGAGAAATGATAAACTCCTGAAGCTGTGACCATTGCCAGCAGCACACAGAGCTTGTGGTTGACAATGTGGTCCGAAGTGTTCGGTTTCCGGGTTGAAAAAGTCAGAAAAGTTGTCTGTTTGTAGAGTTTTTTTTGCATTCAAGAATGTACACACATAGATGAAGCTTAAAATTGCATACCTATCAGGCGCTAGATAAAAAAAAACCCTTCTAAAAAGACTGCTTTCAGTGATTTCAACCATGAGTTAACACACATAAAAACTTCCTCGAATGACTATCTATCTATACATCACCGGAACAGTTTCAGTTCCATCATCCATCTCGTTGCATCATAAACCGGAAGAGTTGAGTACCCGGAAAACGAGAAACATTATCTCCTGCCCTAGGCAGGACGGTAGTAGGTTCATACACTTTGTGTTCTTTTTGAAGTTACGAAAATGGAAAAGAAGCGTATGTGGGGTGGCTGAGGTCAAAATGCTCGACGTGGAAGGAATCAAAGCAAGATATTCCGGAAACTCAATTATGGTTGATTAGAAATTCTGTATGTTATGAAAAGCTCTTGATGGGTTTGCATTCGCCTTCCGGTGATCACAAATAATATTTTTTGCATATTTCATCATGCATCATCCGATTTTGAAATTAATTTCCATTTCAAGGAGCATTTTCCGTCATCTCCCCCATGCACACATAAACCACCACATACACGAAACTCATCGGGGTAATGATGGGAAAATAATTCCCGGTGTTATTTGTGGATAACTTCGAAAGTTTGCTCTGCTCTTTTGTGAGTGTGTAGGTATTGCGTTCTTTGCCCTCAGCGTTGAGATCTCCTCAACCTACAGCTGATGATGATGATGATACTTTTCCTGATGGGAACCGGCGTTCGTTCTTGTTCTGTAATCATCATTACCCGTTGGTTGAGGGTTCGTGGACCGAGGAGGGTGATTTCGGTCAGGGATAAATAATTTACGTTCATTTTCCGGGATAGGAGGTATCCGTGATTTGAGGATTCGCACTTACCCTGGACATGGCTTCGGTGTTTTGGAAGGTTACTGCTCCCGGTACGATCCGCGTGTTGGGTGTTTCGCTGTCACTGTTGTCGTAATGGTGGCCTCGTCCTGGCGGTCCTGGAGGTCCCGGTGGTCCTGTGGAGGTAGTTTTTATTTTCGGAGGTGAGATTTGATCAGGCTGTGATACGGTGCTAAGCAATGAGAAAAATGTAACTGAAAGCAAATCGCAAACCAAAATACCAAGTGCTCTACCGCCTAGAAGCAATGGAGAATTGAAGTGAGAGTGGCGAACAATGTAAGAGACAAGCGAGAAAGCTAATAGATGACAGTTAAGTTCCTTTTATTATTCAAACCTCTTAACGAAAGCTCTATGAAGAGGTATTGGAGCGGGTAGAGTGAATTTCCTTCATTTATGAGTATGAATCATAATTGCTTATCTTTTGACAGATGCGCACACTTCGTCCTAGACTTTTTCGGTGGTAAGAACTCATACACCACTCAGCACTCACCATCACAGTGATGGATGAGTTCTTGGCACTAAGGAAGTTGAACGGAGTTGATTGCAAATTACTCATCTCACTCTGAAAGATCTTTACAGTAAGATTGATTTGATTTAGGATAAGGCTACCAAACATTTTTATTCAAAGCAATAAATCAGCATTTTGTTTAGTAAAAGCAAACCTTAGGCATTTTTCAGGATTGTTCAGGAACTCTGAATTTTAGTGTTCTTTTCTGTGTAAGTTGTATTACAAAATAAAATCAACTCGAGAACCTTCAGGCATTAAAGGAACTATGTAATGGCTATACAGTGCCTTCCCAAATTTTGGCAACACGACCTCATCAACTAAATCTTTCCTCAAATTTGTGCTAGCGCTTTCTGAGGAATTTTTCATGAAATTCCAAGTAGATAGGATGCTTAAAGAGGGGTCTAGTGATATCAAAAATGGAATTGAGCGTTGGATGGATTTTATAGGAAGTGAAGAAGACAAAAGTCATGAGTTGTCAAAAACGGGAAGGCACTGTAGTTATAATAAAGAAAGAGTGATTTAGTTCTGTATATACAAACATAAGTTACTGTTCTGTTGATAATGGATTGGGTACTGTTCATATGTTAACTGATTTAAATCAATCCGGATTAATTCATATTGATGTTCAGAACGAATTCATCTTGGATTAACTCATGTTCGGCCAATGTCCACAAAACTAGGACAGAAGCTCGTCACGTCCGGCGTCCTTTTAAAGGGTTAGTACTGCTACTGTTAACATTTTAATATTCAATTCAGTGGTGGATCTTTAATATTTGATACTTTTTGCAATGATTTGATACTTTTTGCACACTTGTTTCGCATGATGGCGCTGGTGAGCAAATATACACTGTTTTACATAATATCTCGCCTTCATGACTATTTAGAACTATCATGCCCTCAGCAAAGCTGTTAAGTTGCGTGAAACCTTCCACATAGCGGATAGTTTTGTTTAAAATGTATCACAGGTGGCGCTACAGAGCAAACTATTGTTTTGTCTAATTTCTACTGACTTTCTATGTGGAAAGCTTCCGTCTTCGACATTGAATTAGACCTTTCTAATAGCGGGTCTTGTTGTTCCAAATTAACTCACTAGGAGGTGCTAGTGCTCATAATATTGCTTGACTCATTTCTACTGATGCTAACCACGAGAGGCTTCCATCGTCTTTGGCAAAGTTCTCCAGATGGCATACAGTTTTGACAAAAAATGTATCACTAGGTGGAGCTAGTTAGCAAAATATTGTACTGATTTATTTCTACTGTTACTAAAGTTCCCCTCACAGAGAAATTACTTGAGTGAGACCCTCTAAGATCATCATATTAGTAAGATGGTACCCTAGCTGCACACACGTTGCAAAACAGTTGAGGCAACTTTTATGTGACTTATTTTAGCCACAATCAAGTTGCTACAATTTTCTACCACAGCTTTGTGCTACTTGGGTGTATAGTATAATTTCTTGTTTATGATTCCAAGAAAGACTTTCTTTTCTTTATAACTTTGAATTGCTACAGGAATCAAGGGTCAATTCCTAAGAAAATTTAGAGAATTCGTGTGAAACTGCGGAATGCTTTCTTGAGGAAATTTAAAAGTTATTCCGGAAAAATAGAGACTCACGAACTTCCAAAGAATTATTCGAAATTGTTTTCACTGATCTAGGAACTCAGAATGGATGAGTTCACGAGGAATTCGAACTCACGCACCGAAGAAAGTTTGATGGAATTGGGGGGCAATGTTTACTAAAAATGAAGATTAATTCTTCATGAATAATTAATAATCAGGACTATACCCAAGTATCATTTCTGGTTTTATGAGGGTTCTGTTGCCCATGATTTAGACTTGTAGAATGCTTGAAAGACTCGATAAAACTTGCAATGTTTCTTGGGATATGTTCATTATATATCATTCATGAATTTCCTGCTGTCCTATGAATTCATCGGTGCACTCGCTCACGCATTCCTCTTGGAATAAGGGATGTAGTCTTCTTAGAATTTGTAATAAATTCTTCACGGAATTAAGTTTTATTTCCTTGAGAAATTTCCGATGAATCAGTTAGTTCTAGACTGTAGGTCGAAGCCGCCTCGTCATTTTGAATAAATTCCTTCAGAAATTCAGAATGACCTGCTCTCGGTGCTGAGAATGAATTCTTCTCGGGCTATAGAATAAAGTCTCTTTGGAATGCAGAAAAATTTCAATTATTAATTTTTCTCTCGCATGAATTTCTCCCAAATTAAATGATGAGATTCTCTTGAAATTCACGGAGAATTTCTTTCAAAATTCTCAGTACACGTTTCTGAAAATTGTCGAAGAATTTAGGTGGAATTACAATGAGTTGCGTTTGGAATTCAAAATATATGACTCTACTACTTCAAAGTGATTTCCTACATAGGAATTCAGGAATTTTTTCCTTAGGAAATCATGATGATTTTTTCTCTGGAATTCATGATGAATAACTTTGAGATTCGTTAATATTTTTTATTGGAATTCATGACGAATTATTTTTCTAATTCACGATTGTGTTACTTTAGGAATTTTGTTTTGAATTTGTATGCCCCATGGACGTTTGCCAACTTGTAAATTGTTCACGAAGTATATCGGATAGACCCTTCTTAGAATCCTTGTTGAATTATATATAAGAATTCAGGAAGTGTTTCCTTAGAAAATCATGATGAATTTTTCTCTGGAATTCATGGTGAATTATTTTGAGATTCATGTATTATTCTTATTGGAACTTGTGACGAATTATTGTTCTAATTACATGATGAATTCTTTTTGGAATTCATGATGAATTCAGCGGGGCTGTCCAGAAACCAAGTTTTGAGTTACTTTAGACATCCTGTGTGGAATTTGTATGCCCCATGGACGTTTGCCAACTTGTAAATTGTTCACGAAGTATATCGGATAGACCCTTCTTGGAATTCTTGTTGAATTATATATAAGCATTCAGGAAGTGTTTCCTTAGAAAATCATGATGAATTTTTCTCTGGAATTCATGATGAATTATTTTGAGATTCATGTATTATTCTTATTGGAACTTGTGACGAATTATTGTTCTAATGACATGATGAATTATTTTTGGAATTCATGATGAATTCAACTGGGCTGTCCAGAAACCAAGTTTTGAGTTACTTTAGACATCCTGTATGGAATTTGTATGCCCCATGGACGTTTGCCAACCTCTAAATTGTTCACGTAGTATATTGGATAGATACTTCTTGGAATTCATGATGAATTCTTCTTAAAATTCATGATGACTTCTTCTTGAATTTTATGAATTGATGATGACTTCTTCTTAAATTTTATGATGAATTCTTCTTTAAATTCATCATCTTTAAATTCATGATGAATTCTTCCTGAAATTCATGATAAATTCTTTCTGAAATTCATGATGTATTCTTTATGGAAATCATGATGAATTATTCTCGGAATTTATGATGAATTAATGATAAACTCTTTAAGGAATTCATGTTGAATTCCTCTTAGAATTCAGAATATACACCTGACAGAAAGGGGAATAAATTCTATTTCGATTGCAGGATTAGTCCCTCTAAATATTCAAAATGGAATCCTTTTGAAGTGAAGTTTGTATGTCCCGTGGACATTTGCCAACCACCCTTCTGCCCTTAAATTGTTCACGTAGTATATTGGACAGCCCCTCTCTGGAAATTCATGGTGAATTATTCTTGAAATTCATGATGAATTCATCCTGACATTCATGATGAATTCTTCTTGAAACTCTTGATGAATTCTTTTTGAAATTCATGGTGAATTATTCTTGAAAATCACGATAAATTCTATTTGTAATAACTGATAAAGTTTTTTTGGTGGTGTTCATGGGTCATGGTGAAATCTTCTTGGACTTCATGATGAATTAACGACAAACTCTTCTTGGAATTCATGATGAATTTTTCTTCGAATTCAAGATAAATGCCTACCAGAATGATGGAGAAAATATATTTCGGTTGCAATATACAAATGAAATACTGAATGAAATCCTTTTGAAGTGCAATACATACATACTGGATTGAACAGGACATACTATAGACGTTTGCCAACCAACCTCCTCCCTTTAAATTGTTCACATAATATATTGGAGAGCCCTTTCTTGGAATTCATGATGAATTTTTCTTGAAATGCACGATGAATTCATCCTGGATGGATTTTTCTTGGGATTTATGATGAAACATTCTTCGACACCCCTTTTTGGAAATCATGATGAATTTATGATTAACTGTACTACAAATTCATGATGAATTATTCTTAGAATTCAAGATAAACGCCTATCAGAATGATGGAGACATTCGGTCTATTTCGGTTGCAGAATTAATCCCTCTCGATATTCTCCTCCCACTAAATTGTTCACGTAGTATATTGGACAGCCCCTTTTTGGAGTTCTTGAGGAATTTTTCTTGAAATGCATGATGAATTCCTCCTGAAATGTATGATGAACTCTTCTTGTAATTTATTTTAAATTATTTTTGGAATTCATGATGAATTCTTTCTGGAATTCGTGATGAATTATTTTTGGAATGCATGATGAAACCTTCTTGGATACCCCTTATTGAAAATCATGATGACTTTATGATAAAATCTTCTAGGAATTCATGATAAATTCTTCTTAGAATTCAGGATAAATTCCTATCATAATAATAAATAAATTCTGTTTCGGTTGCAGAATAAGTCCCGCTTAATATGCAAATTGAAATTTTTTTGAAGTGCAATTCGTATGTCTGTATTTTACAACCACCCTCCTCCCACTAAATTGTTCACGTAGTATATTGGACAGCCCCTTCTTGGAATTTTTGAGGAATTTTTCGTGAAATTCTTCATTAATGAAATTCCTGAAATTCATGATTATTTCTTCTTGAAGTTCATGATTTTTCTCGGCATTGATGATGAAATTTTCTTGTAAATCATGTTGAATTTATGATGAACATTTCATGAACATGAATGCATGATGAATTCCTCCTGAAATTTATGATGAACTGTTCTTGTAATGTATGATTTTTTTTTTAATTCTTAATGAATTCTTTCTGGAAGTGGTGATTAATTGTTTTTGGAATTCATGATGAAACCTTCTTGGAAATCATGATGAATTTATGATAAACTCTTTTAGGAACTCATGATAAATTCTTCTTAGAAATCAGGATAAATGCCTTTCATAATGAGAAATAAATTCTGTTTCGATTGCAGAATTAATCCCTCTTAATATGCAAAATGAAATCCTTTTGAAGTGCAATTCGAATGTCTGCATTTTGCAACCACCCTCCTCCCACTAAATTGTTCACGTAGTATATTGGACAGCTCCTTCTTGGAATTCTTGATGAATTCTTCGTGAAATTCTTCATGAATGAATTACTGAAATCCATGATGATTTCTTCACGAAATTCATGATTAATTCTTCTCGAAATTCATGATGAATTCTTCTTGAAATAAATGATGAAACCTTTTAGGTATTCATGATAAGTTTTATCGGCATTCATTTTGAAGTTGGAATTTGTATATTCAGTGGAAATTTGCCGACCGCCCTTCTCCCTTTAAATTGTTTACGTAGTGCATTGGACAGATCCTTCTTAGACTTCCCTATTTGAAATTCATGATGAATTCTATTTAGCATTCGTCATGTATTCTTTTATGAATTCATTATGAATTTTTATTCAAATTCACGATGAAATCTTCTTGGATGCCCTTTGTCGGAAATCATGATGAATTTATGATATTCTCTTAAAGGAATTCATGGTGAATTCTTCTTATGATTCATCATAAACTCTATTTCAGTTGCAGAATTATTCCTTCTCAATAATCAAAATGAAATCCTTTTGAAGGAAAATTTGTATGTCCCGTGGACATTTTCCAACCTTCCTTTTGCCTTTAAATTGATTACGAAATACATTGGACAGCCCCTTTTTTGGAATACATGGTGAATTCTTTTTGGAATTCAGTACATTGGGCAGCCCTTTCTTGGAATTCATGATGAATTATTCCTGAAATTCATGATGAATTCTTCTTGAAATTCATGATGAATTCTTTTTGGTATTAATGATAATTTTTTCTTGGACATCATGATGAATTTATGATAAACACTTCTAGGAATAATGATGAATAGCAGAATTAGTCCCTCTTAGTATTCAAATTAAAATCCTTTTGAAGTAGAATATGTTTGTCCCGTGGACATTTCATGAATAATTCTTCATGAAATCAACGATGAATCCTCTTTGAAATTCACGATTAATTCTATTTGGAATTCATGGAATTCATCATGGAATTCATAATGAATTCTGCATGGAATTCATCATGGAATTCATAATGAATTCTTCATGGAATTCATGACAAATTCTTCTTGGATATCATTTTGAATTTATGAGTAACTCTTCCTGTAATTCATGATGAATTATTTTTTGAATTCTATTTCGATTTCATGACTAATCCCGCTCAATACTCAAAATGAAATCGTTTTGAAGTGAAGTTAATACATCTCGTGGACATTTGTCAACCACGCTCTTCTCTTAATTGTTCACGTAGTATATTGGACAGCCCATTCCTGGAATTCATGATAAATTCTTTATGAAATTCTGGATGAATTCTTCGTGGAATTCATGATGAATTCGATTTGAAATTCATGACAAATTTTCTTGGAAATCATTATGAATTTATCTTTGAGTTCAGGATATATGCCCAGTGTGTGTACCGTGAACATTTGCCATCCACACTCCTCTCTCAATTGTTCATTGGATCACCCCTTCCTGAAATTCATGATGATGTATTCACCTTAAAATTCAGGTTCCTTTTTGGAATTCATGATGAATTATTCGCGTCCTACTTGGAAATCACGATAAATTTGTGATAAACTCTTATAGGAATTCATGATGAATTGTTCGTAGAATTCAGGATAAATGCCTATCAAAATGTGGAATAAATTCTCTTTCGATTGCAGAATTAATCCCTCTCAATATTCTAAATGAAATCCTTTTGAAGTGGATTTTCATATGTCTGTATTTTCCAACCACCCTTCTCCCACTAAATTGCTAAGGTTATTTTTGACAGCTCCTTCTTGGAATTCTTGATGATTTCTTCATGAAATTATTTATGGATTTTTCCTGAAATTCATGATGAATTGTACTTGAAATAAATGATGAATTCTTCTTGACATTCGTGATTATTTTGATTTTGGCATTTATGATTATGCCTTCTTAGAATTCCGCTTAAATTCCTCTCAGAAGGAAGAATGAACTCCTATTTCGATTGCAGAAATAACCAATCTCAATATTCAAAATGAAATTCTTTTTTAGTTAAAGAAGAGTTCGACAGTGAGCATGCATAAGGGCGAATACGCGATGATCGATTCTCTTCATCGATTTTCTCTTTGCATTGCTACAGCTAACCGAAACAATTTTCTAGAATTTGTTCAATGCAGAGTAGTAACAGGTTGTATTGGTTATCAAAAGCAACAGCTAACGCACCGAGAAACGTTAAATCTAGCGAGTTATTAACAAAAGAGAAAATCGATGAAGAGAATCGATCATCGCGTATAGGCCCTTATGCATGCTCACTGTCGAGTTCTTCTCGTAATGGGTGCCATATATCTCGTTAATTTTGGTGCCATGTTTTCCTCTGAATTGAGCAAGAATATCTCCTGGAGTTACGGATGATGTTGGGTTGAAAGCGGATGAATGTAGGATGAATCCCTTTCATTATCAGGATCCAATATTTATCTTTTTTATTGGACTTTAATCAGGCTGATTTTATGATGAATCAATGTGAATTTGTGAATACTTATGATGCTTGGAGGCGAACCAGCCTAAGGCTGAAAGCCTCCTAAATAAAGCTAAATTAATTAATTACTTATGATGATTGTAAATGATTTCTTAATTAAGCTAGATGAATGTATCATACACCAGAATGAATATTTAATTTCTGATCCAGATTTTAGTATGATATCAGATTTAAATGAATGTTCAGAATTTCTGGCGAATTTCTCTTGGATTTTTTTTTTTGCAACATATGCATAAATTTAATATTATTTAATAATTTTGATTTCTTTATTAGAAAACAGTTCTTTGGGAAATTGCAATTCCTAAATTTCTGATTAATTGTTTTTAGTAATTCTTGCAATTTTGTAGGTCTTTGGATTTAAGAGTGTAGGATGAGGATTTAGAATGAATTCAATGCACATTTTCTGCATTCGAAATCAATCTACTTTGAAATGAAGAGATCGAAATACATTTTACACCATAAATATTAGGAACCTTTGCTCAATTCAATTTTCATTGGTTAGTAACTTCCAATGTGTTTTCAAGTAATTCTCGAAATTTATTTTAAGGAATCATTGAGTCAATCCTCTAACAACTCCTCAGATTTCTTATTAGATCTACATATAGGGTTATGGGATATAATTGAAGCCTGTGTGCTCTTATTTTAAGTCTTTCTAGTAGTGCCTGGATTATTCTCATTTATACAAATTGGTCTTGCCGACAACTTGATTCAATTCTAAAACACCAGCACCATTGCTTAACCATATAACCACATAAGATAACGACAAGAATCAAACGAAATAGAAAATCGAAAAAGCTAAATTACATAATTACATCTAGAGGGGTTACGAAAGCTAGTGAGAAAAACGTTTCAGAAAAAAATAAACCAAGGAAAAATGGAAACATCCATATGTAGTTTACCAGCCGTACTATCTTCTAGTTCCCTGTGGTGCTTCAGCTCTCTAAGTTGCTTTAGTTCGTCTAAGCTTGAGCGGCCTCCTGTAACATTTGCGAACGAGTTTGGTTTTGTGTCAGCATTTTGAGATAGGTTATAGGTTCGTGGGAAAAAGCAACAGAAGATAGTTTTCCGGGAATTTTAGTCCAATGAACAGAAAGCAAATTTGCGAATGGATGGAACGTAAGTTCAGTTAGACAAAAATGCTACTCGATCAATTTTGTTTTCATGAAAGATAGTTTACAAACATGAACAATTTTAGGGTGATAAATCGCGTCGCTCCTTACCTGGTCGTCCAATAAAGTTCGGGTCGCCAAAGTACGGGCTTCGTGAGTCCATGCCCGGATCACCCTTCTCACCGGCAATGGAAACTCCGGGCAAGCCGGGAGGTCCCGGTGGTCCTGGTGGTCCTGGCAGTGGGATGTACTGACCCGGAGTACCGGGTTTCCCATCGAGGCCGTCCTTACCGGTTTCGCCTTTTGGTCCTCGAGGCTGTAGTGTGGGAAGAATAATTAGTGAGAGTTTGGATATGGGTGCTTGATAGTGACTAAGATTGAAATACAAAATATAGGTAAATTACTAGCTATTGTTCGATAGCAATCAAGTTGTGCTTGTAGAATCCCCATTGATGGTCTGACAAAGCCTATTGCACAACTCACATCCCAAAGGTAAAATTTCCGATCAAAAAGCCCTTGTTTCATTGAACCACAAATCATGACTGCTGATTTTAATCAAACACCACGTGGTTGTTCCTTGCGCCAACTTTGGCATCAGCTTGTAAGAAACTGTCACCAAGTGTCAACACGGTTATAATTGATTCCTCACGCGAAGAATGTGAATGTATGTGTGATGCACACACAACAAGTCCTCATTTGCATGCACAAACCGGATGACGCCACCACCACCCACCATCCCACCATTCTGTATGCCAAAACTCTTACTCGCTGTCAAGAGTTTCGCTGCTCATTCGCTGCACCTTGGAGAATGGCAGAATGTTTTGGATTTCGCATTTCAACTTTCGGGAGGACTTGAGGGAGCATGGCTCGTAAGAAATGTGGCACGGATTTGCACTCGCTAATCCGCACAGCAGGTTCTTCAGCCTTTAAGTTTACGCTAAAAGACGCCCTTCATCATTGCTGGGAGGGGGGCGGGTGGTGAGAAGCAAATCATCATCTCCAACCGGTCGACAACGTCAACAACAGGAACAACTAGGGATGCCGTTATTGCTGTTATGAGCTATTAGACAATCAATCGTTAGTCGTTTTTGCCTGTTGTTTTGGTCTCTTGGATGATAGTGGAGATTGTAGTTTTATTTCGAGGAATGGGAAAGATAGCTCAGTCATGCAGTCAATTATTAATTTTCGATTTGTATCACATGTTCCGATGATTGGATCGTTATCTAAACATCAAAGATTAAGAAGTATTGCTAGTGTTTTCTTTTTTGTCAGATGTAAAATATGATCAGAGGTCTCATTGGGGAGGTCTAATCGAAGCGTTTTTCGAATGAACAGTCGTTTTGTCTTGATTACATAATGTGGTTCCAGTTTAATTTCATATCGAAGATTTAGAAAACATGGATTGTTTTGATGTGATGTAAAGAGCTTGGTGACCTAGTAGCGACAGGTTTTGCTTACCGGGCAGAAGATCGTGGTTTCAATCCTTGGCTCCGTATTATTGTAGAAGTCCCTTCTAGTTAAAAACACACGGGCAGGACAGTACATCCATGGAGGTAACTCTAAGGCCAGAAGGTCCCGAAGAAACGTGCTCAACTTTTGGCTCAGCTCTGGTACTATCTTCGGTCCCAAGTTAATCGATGCACCCCTTGAAACATAGGAAAATCCACGAACCCCTCATTTTATCTGTCAATCTTCCATAGCGAATCAAAACATACATAGTGTAGTACTAGAACTTAGACTACAATGGAGTACGTTAATCGATTGGCTTGGGACCAATAAGCTAGTCAATCTGATTAGTGACGCAGTAATGGAACATTTTTCCTAGGTTTATGGGTTTATGTTTCGTTATTTATGGTCACCAATTCCTTTATTTATGGTACAACTGTAATTTTTGAAGGGATTTTGCTTTTCGTTTTACCGTTGCAATTTATAATTTTTATATTTTCTAGGAGTAAAAGTTTAGGAAGGCAACACTTCTTGGTAATGACGTATGCTCAACGCGACAGTAGACTCCTTCGGCAGACGTCATTTCATTTAAAAAGCTTCATGTTACCGGACTTGAATGATCGGATGTTAACGTGGTTTGTTGTGATCTAAATGGCGCGGTGGCCTAGTGGCCATTTTTGCTTCCTGCGCACAAAATTTTGGGTTCTATACCAGGGCTCTTCTAAGTTGTCGTTATTCTGCACATAGAATCGTACTAGTACGACAAATAGAATCATACTCCATGAATAATTCAACTCTCAGCATTTATTTGCCAAATAATTTCTGGTAATACAAAGTCTTTCCATGTAAGCCACCAATTCTATCGGGTAGGAGAAATTTCAGGATCAACCATCCTCGATTTGCATGAAACTTTGCATAATTGTTTGTTATGAACAATCATTTGAATTTGAGCCAAAATTTGGTCATTTCAAATCTTGCAAAAAAAAGTGTGTATTTTTCAGAAAACCATAACTCGGAAACGGCACTTCCAATCAAAAAATAAATCAGGAAAAATATACACGGTATCAAAATTCAAATGTATTTGGGTTAAAATTCAACAAAATTACCCTCTTATATATTTTTTTTATATATTTTATTATAAAAAGTAGAAGAATCTGTGAACGGTAACTTGACAGAACCATAATTGGTCGGTGCATTTGTTTTTGGGTTTGATTTTTTAATTGATAAAAAATCTGTAATTGGAACTCTACATTTTTTGTAATGGTGGCCTTAAAAAGGGCCGTTGGTTGTTTTATCTGGTATTCCTCATATGGATTGTTGCAGTTATTAGTTGTTTTACTATTTCACTATTTGTACTACCTGCTTAGTCCTACGTCAAAAGCACCTTAAAATTTGCTAAATTCGGATGGTAAAATAGGAAGCACCATCTTGATCGAAATGTAAGTATTATTGACAATAATTATAACTAGATGAAAGCAAATTTTATATGATAGGAACCTGGATCAACGGTATTTAAACATGCGCATTCAATATCGACCATTTCTAATTTTGCATGTCAAATTCTTTGACTCTCCTTTCTTTTATCCTTTTTTTTTTTTTTTTAACTCTTTATTTGTTCCAAATTTAAAATAAATTACATTTCATTTTAACCTAGGTGCTCCAGTTACTGCAGTAACGTACCAGCCTTAATTGTTATGATATATATCTAAGTGTTTTTACATTGTTCATGTCTTGGCAATTCAGTATTTTAAACAGGTTTTTTTATACCTGCATGTCAGTATAACAATTGATATCTTAAAAGTAAAAACTAAAACTAAATCTTATCTAAGTATAAAGGGAATTAATCGTTGCAATTGAGGATTGCAACGATTTTTGCCTGAAATTATTAATTATGTTGTTGGACATTTGTGCTAAAGTCTCAACATTAGAAATTCTATGTACTTCGGTTGTACTGTACCAGGGAGGCAACTTCAAAATCATTTTCAGAATTTTGTTCTGAATCCTTTGAAGTGCTTTTTTCCTGGTAGTGCAGCAACTAGACCATATTGGCACAGCGTAAAGCATGGCCGGTCTAAAAACTTGTTTAAATATTAGAAGTTTATTCGTCAGACAAAGTTTGGATTTCCTGTTTATAAGAGGATACAAACATTTTATATATTTGTTACATTTGGCTTGAATGCCCTCAATGTGATCTTTAAAAGTTAATTTTTGGTCAAGAACTAATCCAAGATATTTCACTTGGTTTGACCAGGAAATTGGAACTCCGTTCATAGTGACTATGTGACTACTACTAGGTTTCAAAAACGAAGCTCTAGGCTTATGTGGAAATATTATAAGTTGAGTTTTAGAAGCGTTGGGAGAAATCTTCCATTTTTGTAAATAAGAAGAGAAAATATCTAAACTTTTCTGCAGTCTGCTGCAAATAACACGAAGACTTCTTCCTTTAGCGGAAATGCCTGTGTCATCAGCGAACAAAGATTTGTGGCAACCCTGAGGCAAATCAGGGAGGTCCGAAGTGAAAATGTTATACAATATAGGCCCAAGAATGCTACCCTGAGGAACTCCTGCTCTAACAGGTAGTCGATTAGATTTGGAATTTTGATAATTTACCTGCAGAGTTCTGTCAGTTAAATAATTTTGAACTAATTTCATAATATAAAGTGGAAAATTAAACTTTTTCAATTTAGCAATCAAACCTTCATGCCAAACACTGTCGAATGCTTTTTCTATGTCTAGAAGAGCCACTCCAGTTGAGTGGCCTTCAGATTTGTTTGAACGAATTAAATTGTTAACTCTTAAGAGTTGATGAGTAGTTGAATGCCCATGGCGAAATCCAAACTGCTCATCTGCAAAAATTGAGTTCGTATTGATGTGAAGCATCATTCTATTCAAAATTATCTTTTCAAAAAGTTTACTTATTGAAGAAAGCAAACTTATTGGACGGTAGCTAGAAGCTTCAGCTGGATTTTTATCCGGCTTCAAAATTGGAACAACTTTTGCATTTTTCCATTTATCAGGAAAGTATGCCAAATGGAAACATCTGTTAAATAATTTTACCAAGAAAGACAAGGTACTCTCTGGGAGTTTTTTGATGAGGATATAGTGGAATTTTCTATCTATTTTCTATCATCACCTGGAGCTTTCATATTTTGAAAATTTTTAGTTATAGACCTTACTTCGTCCAAATCAGTCCCCCAGGAATCATCAAAAATATTTTCCCGAGAGAAAATATTCAGAAAATCCCGAGCAACCTGATTCTCAATAGGACTAGTAAGACCCAAACTGAAATTATGGGAACTCTCGAATTGCTTAGCAAGTTTCTGAGCTTTTTCCAAATTTGTGATCAAAATTTTACCACCTTCTTTAAGCGCTGGAATAGGCTTTTGAGGTTTTTTCAAAATTTTTGTGAGTTTCCAAAAGGGTTTGGAACTCGGGTCTAATTTAGAAATATTATTTTCAAAAGTTTTGTTCCTCAGGGCAGAGAATCGCTTTTTAATTTGTTTTTGCAAATCCCGCCAGATAACTTTCATGGCAGGATCGCGTGTTCTTTGATATTGTCTCCTACGGACATTTTTAAGACGGATCAAGAGCTGAAGATCATCGTCTATTATAATTGAATCGAATTTAACCTCGCATTTTGGTACTGAGGCAGATCTTGCTTCAACTATAGAAGTAGTCAGAGATTCAAGAGCATAATTAATTTCATCTTTGGTTTGCAAAGGAATGTTTGGATCGAAGTTATATTCCATAAATGTTCGATACTGCTCCCAATCAGCTCTATGGTAATTGAAAGTAGAGCTGTTGGGATTACAAATTATTTCTTGGGATATTTCAAAAGTTACTGGAAGGTGATCAGAACCGAAGTCAGCA